TCTACATTTTTGATTGTCGTGCAAGTCTATGTTTCTAACTCTCTTTGAAACGAAACTAATCTTTCTCTTTTGAAAATCTCGTACAAACATAATCTAAGTTTAGGTTTTTGATGCTCCAGTAAAACAAACATATTTCTATCTTTGTGACTATCGTGAAAACCGAACGCATGTTTGCTTTTAGGCTCTTGTGTAAACTAAACCTTTTTGATTCTTGTTTCCGGAAACAACATAATTCGGCATGAAATGTTGATATGTTGTAAACCAAACAAAACAAAACCAAACAGTCTTTCAATTTTATATATCGTTAGTGTATAATCCCTGTATTTCAGAAGAGGAAATACTTTAATTTAGATTTACATATTCACACGTATTAAATTATGTAAGCTAACCGAACATAGTGGATGTGACCGTTCTCGGGGCCCTCGAAAAGAATTGAAAAACAGAAATATCAAATGAAAAGATGGAAAAAATTTGTGAAATGTTTAAGTAATTAAGGAATGTTCGAGAAATAATTTAAAATAAACTGAAGGAATTAGAAATGAGAGTTAAACTAGGAAGATGATTCAGTGTAAAGCAGCGTTGAAACTTAATTGATGATTTCGCTTTGAATTTCTGACATGGAATGTGACCATTTTTATTTTATGAATGAAAAAACAGAACAAATATGACATGACATCCAAAATAGCACGAGGCAAAGAAACAGTTAACGTTAAAACATATGAGAAAACATCTTGAACGATCAAAGAGCCACCAAATAGCCAAGAAATGTGTGCTTATCTCAATACTGTATCTCGACGTCCGTCCACAGTTGTTACCGGTGCACAAGTCTTGGAAAACATTATACTACAATGCATTGCCTTCCTCAATTTTCTACTATACAGTCTGTCAAAAATATATCAAAACATGCTGCAAACAGTTCCTAAACCATTTCTGCAATAATTGCTGATTTCACGTTTCGCCTTGATAACTGTGTCACTAACCGCACATCCTATCTATATAACATTTTGCTATGGCAATTCTGATACTAGTAAAGCTAGAGTATAGCAGCAGAAGTCATATACTTACAGGAGAGACACGATGAACTGACATATTTTTCCACCATCTTTAGAAATATATCAGAATATTTGAGTTCCACTTGTGGTCTGATATGAACTTGAATTCCAATAGCTGTTGAAAGCAATGAGCCTCCTTGAGAGAGTACCCATCCATAATGATATGTAAAAGTTCAGAGTCGGCTCAGTGATGATGGTATGTTAATAATTTGGTTTTGGGCGTAATGGATTTTACAATCCGGTTCAACCTCCATAGATCTACAAGGCCGAGGTCCGAGGAGAGATCAGCTGCCAGGTTCTGGTCATCCAGATTTTGGGAGTAGCATCTTTAAACTGTTGTATCATACGCTGGGATATTCACTAAAGTTAGGATTGTGTTCTTCAGGCAGATCTTTAATAAGGAGTAGGACCACGGTGGGAACGACTTGATAATTGAGAAAGGCCTTCCAAAGATTCCATAACTGGAGAGTGTGTAGCTGCCCCGATGAAACAGTTTGTCAAAGGCCTTTGATATACCGAGGCTGATGATCCTCACAAGGAATTTATTGTCTAGTTTTATGGCAAAATATCAATTTAAATAATAAAAGAGAGTGTAGAAAATTCCTTTTTTATGATTATTTTTTTTTAAAGAGAATGGATAAACATAACTTATCAAATAATTCTCATTGATAATTAATATAATAATGATGTCATAATCAAGAAGAATTAGATCGTAATCAGAATATTGATTACGTACAAATATATATTTTGGTGTTATCTCTTTTTATATATTTTTATGCCAGAGATTATTTTTATTTGTTTTTGATGGAAGAGATTATGTTTCATCTTTTTGTTGAGCGAGATTATTTTTATCTCTTTATGATGGGTGAGATTAATTTAGAGATAAAATAAATGTTACATCTTGAAAATATGTTTTTAGCATAGAAATGTGCAAAATTGCTTTCCGTGTATAGAGCAAGAAAATATAAAAACATTAAAAAATAAACGAAAGAACTAAAGGAGAAAAAAAGAAGAGGAGCTTAAACGTATGTGGACTTAAAATATGATTAACTGTTGGACAAATCTGAGCCTTTTCATGCTTATAAGCTTTAAGCTAATTAAAAAAAAAAAACAAAAAAACAATGCATTCCTATCATTACCCACTGATTTTACTTGTACTCCACCGAATTCCTAACTAACGATATTTGGCAGACGGGATAAAACCTACTGCTTAATCGTAGAAATTTTCACTATTTGACCTGACGATAATTACACAAGTTCCGTTTCTCAGTTGTTCATTGAATATATATATATATATATATATATATATATATATATGTATGTATGTATGTATATATATATATATATATATATATATATATATATATATATATATATATATATATATATATATATATATATATACACACACACACATATAATATCTATCTGTATAATACCTAATATAATATCACGCTATAATAATAAATATTTCATAGTGAGTATACGAAAAGAAAAATAATAAATATAAATCAAATATAATAGATCAAAATGGCAAATAAAATAACGAAAGACACGATAGAATACGAATAAATATACACTTCTACTTATGCAAAAATGTACGAAAGAAAAAATGGCATCAAAGTCGACCAGAAAATTAAAAATCAGATACATTGGTATTTTGAGATGAGAACGGTTACCGCATCTAAGCGAGAATAGCGGGTCTGGTAGTTTTAAACAAAGAAAAATCTTCAGACGATAAAATTGCTTGTTCTAGCAGACCACAGTTTGAAGATTAAAGAAAACGTAAAGTGGGGAAACATCAGGTCCTTACTCGAGATCTGAGGAAATTATGGCACACAAAGTTGTAGTTCTTGTCTCTAATTGTTGCTGCACTTAGAATACTGAAAAAACTCACTAGAATTGCAATTTGGTGAATTGGAAATTCGAAGACGACTGAAGACTATTTTTCCAAATTAGTAAGGTAACGTACCATCACCACCAAGCTGACTCTGAACTTTCACCTATCATGATGGATGGTTACTATCTCAAGGAGGCTGATTGCTTTCAACGGCTATTGGGACAAGTTCATCTCAGACCACTAGTGGTACTCAAATAATCGGATCTATTGCTAAAGATGGTGGAAAAATATGCCGATTCATTGTGCCTCTCCGTTAAGTATCTGACTCCCTCTGTTATACTCTATCTTCACTAGAGCCATAACAGTACGGCGTTGCTGGTGTCTGTGAGGAGAAAATAACCGGGGATTTGAGATTATTTTTCTCAACATGTGAAGGTCATTTATTGGGGGTAGATCTTGCCCATGCTTATGGAGAGGAATGGGCCATTGCCCTACCCCAATGGTCCAATGCGTGTGATAGAGCGGATGTGACACGCTTGGGCGATCATGTTTCTTTTCGATTTCTCATCGCCCTAGATATTTTGTGTAAGTTAATATAACGAACTGGGATTCGAACTCGGCTCACCTGATTTTCATCCTGAGACGTTATCCGCACATCCAAGCTTAAAGCAACTGGTATTCCCAAGCAGTCGCTCATCTAAGTAGTGACAAGGTTCGACGTTCCTTAACTTCCATGATCGGAGGAAAACCGGTGTTTTAACTTGATACGGCCGTAAGCTCAGACGCAAATATATAGTTTATAATAATATATTTTCACCAGTAGCAAAATTGTGATCATAATAAAAGTATCAAGAACAATAATGTTGACAACGTACATCATAAGTTTATGATGACATTAATCATAATTCGAATTACAATGATGATATAGATAATTAAAAATAATAATAACATTTCATTATTAAGCGTCAGATATCCCATGTTAATAAAATATGAAAAATAAGCGAGACTCCAAAATTGTAATGAACTATTCTTACCATAAATAAATACAATCATAATAATGAGATGATAGTAAAAATATCCAGATATAAACAAGCAATCTTAGAGAAAACATATTCACTGCGAAATTGTTGACAAAAGGAAGGAAACTTGGTTTCACATTCGTAAGAGGAAGCTTTAATTTCCGCACGAAACACGCGGATGAAAAGAAGGCTTCCGTTTGTTGTACACATGCTCAGTGTTTTCAGATTTTCGTTTATAACAGTTTTGTTTTGTTTTGTGATTAACCCTTCGATATAATGCAGTTAGTGCTCTTCAATACAAATTTTGAGAATTCTAGCATTCACACAAAATGTAAAATAGCAATTCAGAATGAAAAGGCGTCAGAAATTAAATGCCGGTAAAATAGTTTCGTAAATCCCTGAATAAATCATTGTATCTGATTTCATTTTGTGCTATGAATATAAAAAAAAAACAAACTATATATCCAAATTTGGATTTGCTTGCTTGCTGAAGCTGGTTAGCGTTCGAGTTCAGGTAAAACGTAAGGATTTCAAATCCTCTCAAGATAATTAGACGCTACCACCTTTAAAATCGCTGCAATGCACCCAATTCTATTTGTGTATGGTAGTATGCTTGACTATTTCATTTATATGCCAGGTCCCTACACAATCTAGGCGATTATAGGTCTCCATAATTTCCGTTCGTTTGTAGCTCTAAGCAATGCCTGTCTTCTTACTCTCCCTCTCAGTCTATGTCCTGCAGTCCATTTACACAAGCTCGTTACGTAGTTTAATCAATGCTTCCTCCCACCCGCCACTAGTGCTTTCATTATGTCTTCTATCAAATTCTCCAATCTTTCTTTCTTCTGCTTCTGGTTCTAAGTACAAGTGTCTTTTTTGTTCCATCTCTTGCATTCTCAGCAGTTTTCTGTAGAGCCACATATCTGTTGTCTAAATTCTCGTCTTCACCTGTGAGAAAATTATTGCCCAGCTTTCGTTGCCAAATAGGGGAATTGATATTATATAGCAGTTAGAATAGATTGATTGTTTGAATATATCAGGCACTATGTAACCTTATTTAAATTATGTGGTAACCTACGTTTTACGGGCTTACGGCCATATCACGTTGAAACACCGGTTCTCGTATATTCGCCGAAGTTAAGCCACATCAAGCCTGTTCAATACTTTGATGGGTGACCGCTTGGGAATTTCAAATGCTGTAAGCTTGGACATGCGGGGGCATGATGGATAAGGACTCGAAATTGGAGAGCTGAGATCCAATTTTCGTCGGGTTTACACGCAAATACTTTTGGGAAAGTTATCAATCCACATCTTCTCTCCACAGCTATGGGGTCATTATTATGACTAATATCAGTAAATCAGTGTTAATTCAAAACATTCTTACAATCTAAAATACTTTCTGGCTTTAAATAAACTGCAAAAAGTTGATAAGCCATAAAAGAAATCAACCAGACCTACTGTTTTACAACTATCCCCTCATGAATCATATTCAAATGTCTAATAAATATGCCATATCTTTTCAGGACATACGGGATGATGGCTCTCCACATATCTTTTTCTTTTTTTATCTACGAATTGTCATTACTTCTTAGAAAAAACAGCAGCATGGTTTGCTGTTGCCTTGTACATGTTTTGGAATTCACAGTTCTCTTTCTCCTAGACTAGCTGATAGACAAGTGCAGAGAACTCGGCCTTTGAGCCCATAGATATGTGAAGAAGAAAAAATGAATTCATGTCTTTCCCAGAGTCGTTAGGGTAAACATGAATGTAGCTGACTGGGTTCGAATCAGTATTCTTTAATATGCTGAAAATATAAAATAATCCACGATGACGTCTTGATGGTTAGCAGTTAAGAGGACCATATTTGATATTTTATACCCACCTGAAGATACTCCTGTGATTAAATCTATTTTATTTAACGTGGGTTGTTTATTTTGTATAATAATATCTTCTAGGATTTTGAGTCTTTCCTTGCATTTAATCAAACTTATTTGGATGATTACTTTCTGTTTAAATATAACAATATCAAGATAACGGGAATGAGAAAAGAGGTCAGGTGTAGGGACACCTCACTCAGCGGTTGCACAATTGAAGAACAAGGCATCGTAATGCTCTTTCTGTGGGAAGACGGAATTAAACCTGCGGACATCAATCGCCGGATATTTGCTCAATATAGAGCACGAACTATGAATCAAAGAAAGGTCTATGAGTCGGTAGAACGTTTTAACGTTGGAAAAAAAAGTAACGTGTTCATTATATATATGTACATGTCTCTCTCTTGCGGACGTGTGTTTTTGTGCTGAGATCGATTTATTTTCTTTCATATTAGTGTTTTAAATTTATATTTCTAATACTTTTTACTATTAATATTTATATAAGTATACATAGGCTTACAATTTTTTCTAAATTTCAAACTAGGACAAAGATCATATTAGAGTGTTACGTTCTTAAATAAATGTTGTTGACCCAGAATAGGTCCGAAAGAAAACTCGAACTCAGCAATTTAATTAAAACATATTATCAACAAAAAGAACGAATACAAATGTGTTGCACGTCCGACTGACGGCAAAGTACAGTAGTCAACTCGTCAACAATATTTAACAATCCCCCCACGAGGATTGAATGTGGCACAAGGCCGTGTTTAATGTGGGTTTCTCCAAGCCCGTAGGCTCGGCCAAAAAATATACCCTTTGAACCCGCCTAGACGGGTTCAGGGCCTGTTTACCTCCCCGAACGAAACTTTGCTCTTCGGCAAAGCTTCGTCCGGGTTCCTCTCTGCCAAAGCAGAGAGTTCGACAGAAGTCAACCGTAGTCAACTCGTCAACTATAGACAGCCCTCTTGAGAGGCATAATATAGTAATAGGACGAATCCATTCAGTCCATAAAGGTAGGTTCCATAACACACCCCTCCCAAGCCTTTACCTCCGCAGGAGTCTCAATATCGTCTCCTTTTTGGATTGATGACGAGAGGGTTCGTGGACTTCCGCTTTCTTTTAGATCGTCGCGGTTCTGGAGCTGCTTGGGGTATTTGAATATCGAAGGTGTCGTAAATGCTATCCATAACGTCTTCCTGGAGAGTACTGATGCAATCATCCAACAGTCGTTTCCTGATTTGATTCAGGTGTCTCTTATGAGAGAAACGAGGGCCTTAGATTATGTAGACCATATCTCCAATCCTCTTTTCTATCGTACCAGGTTCCCAGAAAGATGTGTTATTTTTAAACATATTGAAGAATACTTTTTCCCCTGGACTGTATTTTTTCATTGGTATAATAGAGGTGTTTGTTTGGGTAGCAATTTATCAAAAACGGATCTTACTTTACGTGCAAACATTATTCTGTCGGAGATAGTGTAGCTGGCGCGTTAACATTTGGCGTGATCCTGTAAACTTGTAAAAACTGCTGCAGGGCCTTTTCCTTTGGCGTGCCGTAAGCTTTTTTCAGGGCTCTTTTTAAGGTGTGTACGAAGCGTTCTGCTTGACCATTCGACCTCGGGTGATATGGCGGGGTCGTAATGTGTTTTATCTGAAAGCCTCGCAGAACTCTTTAAAGTCGGTCGAAGTAAATCGAGTTCCGTTGTCACTGACCAAGTAATCTACTACCCCAAAACGAGCGAATAATTCGCTTGGTTGATTATTGAAGGTAGCTTATTGTTGCCTCCGTAGTGGGATTTTTACATCGGAACACTTCCGGCCATTTTGAATAACTATCCACTACAATTAGATAGTAGAATCCCTCTAAATCCCTCTAGTGGTCCCGCAAAGTCCACGTGGATACTTGACCAAGGTCGGTCCGTCTTTGGCCACGGTTTATGTGTGATAGGTGGTGCTTTTGCCGCCAATGCACAACCATTTCATGTGTTGACCATATTTTCGATGTCTTGGTCCATTTTAGGCCAGTATATGTAGCTGCGCATTAGACTTTTCATCCTATTTTCCCCCGGATGCTCAATATGAAAATCCTTCAGGATTCTCTTCTGTAGGTTTTTTTGGAATGACGACTATCTCGTTTTATAGGGGTACCTCGTAACATAGGGAAAAACTGTCTGAAATGTGTTGGTCCTTCTCTGAATTTTTTGTTTTTGTTACGCTAATGAATTCATCATTGCGGGCTTCATGTTTTATTTCTTGTAGCGTCACAGGAAGTTCTCTTATAGTGCTACACAATAAAGTTTTTATTTTCCCCTCCGTTCGTAGTGAAGCGATCACAGAATGTAATGGTTCCCTATGTCTTGGAACTAGTCTAGAAAGTCCGTCAGCGTAACAGATTATTTTCGAGGGGGGGGTATTCCAACTTGAAGTTGTCATTTAGGAGAATTATCCCCCACCTCAGCAGTCTGTTTGCCGTATAACCGGGGAATCCTCTTTTTGAATATGATTGCTAATGGTCCTTGATGCATGAGAGATGGGTTTTTGCGTTCCATCTGGCATTTTATGAAGGATGCACGCTCCTATTCCATGCGAGCTTGCGTAGCTAGCAACTATGATCTCGAGGTTCGGGTCGTAGTGCGTAAGGAATAAATCCGATGTTAGGACTTTGATAGTTCTCTCGAATGGCATTCGGGTGTCCATTCCCAAACCTTATCTTTTCTTAAAAGCTCATTCAACGGGGCACGGAGGTTATGCATATTTGGGATAAACACTTGGTAGTAATTCGCTAACACCAAAAGCTCTGTAGCGCTGTGAGGTTTTCAGGAGCCGGCATGTCCTTAATTACAGTGGCCCTTTCTGGGTCTGATCTCCTACCGTCTTTGTCTATGATGTGACCCAAATATTTGATTTCTTTCATGAAGAAGTCACATTTGCTTTCCTTTATTTTGAAGCCATAGTCTTGTATTCGTGAAAATAGTTTGTGGATGTCTTCCCGGTGTTGTTCCAAGCTTTTACTGTTTATCAAGATGTCGTCTAGGTAAGCCATTGAAAATTCAAGTCCACCCAGCATGGTGTCCATAACCTGCTGAAAAATGGCAGGTGCGACTTTGACTCCAAATGCAAGGCCTTCAAATTTGTATAAGCCTCTATGTGTATTTATACATAGTAATTTTGAGCACTTTTCCTCAATAAGCTTCTCTGAGATCGATTTTCGAAAAGAACTTGCCTCCATTAAGTTTTGTAAAAACTTCTTCCGGGCTTGGAAGTGGGTAGTGATAATCTTTTAGTGCTGCTTTTAGTCCAGTAGAAAAATCTGCGCACACGCGGATTTCCTTAGACTTCTTCTTTACATACACTACTGGTGCTGCCCATTGGCTATATTCCACTTTAGATAAAATGCCAGTCTCTACAAGTCAGCCTAATTCTTTGTCTATTTCCTCTAACGGGGCGAAAGGCACATTCCTTTTTTTTTTAAAATATTGGTTGAGTGTTCTCTTTTAGCTCAAATTTTGCTGACATCTTTTTGCATCTACCAAGGCCAACTGAAAAGACCTCGGGGAAGGTTTCTTTTAATCCATTTCTTAGTTTATCTGACTCGGTTCAATTTTTTGATTGTTCCGTTCAAAGTAACGTTCGCGATAATTTCGCCCTCAAACTTATTTTTTTTACCGGTCACCGACCTAGCTATTTTGCCGGTTTTTAGCATGGTTGATTTATTTAACCTTTTTCAAGTATGTAGGTTGATTATTGATAAATCAGACCGGAGTCTAATTGTAACCTGACTTTTTTATTCAGTATTTCTACTTGCATATACTTTCTTATAATTTTGACGTTCAGTTCGTCTGTTTTTGTGGTTCTAATCCGGCTTTTTCCTCCTTTATTCGTTCTGCAATGTGAACTCTTGTGCCCAACTTTATTCCAAGTTAGACAGGTTTTAAACCGATATTGGCAATCCTTAAACCAATGAAGTGCTCCACAACGGTAACATGGACTAGGCGATACATTTTTCTGTTTTTTATTGAGCTGACGTTTTTTTCTTAGGAGAGTGAAAATAATCTTTTTTGGTTTGATTTGTTTTTGAAAGGGAGGAAAAATGTGGTTTTCGGTGTATTTTTCTTATATGTGCAACGCCTGACTCTTCAATGTCTCTAGAATCATTTTTTACACTTATATATTTTTGGCAGTCCTTGCCTATATTTTGTAAAGTTAAATTTGGTTCTCCCTCTAACCTTGTTAGGACTCTACGTCTAATTTCCGCATCTTTCGTTGATACAAGTCCTTGCACGAATATTAGACATTTTAAATTGTCTGCGGTAAGTTTGGCCAATTTAAA